TGTAGGAGCACATCAAGGTCAACTTCCTGGAAGCTGGTCTGCAGATGGTGCACCCCAATCCTATGGGTGTAGGCGTCGGTCACGGATGTACACTATTGCACTTACCAACCTTGAATGACAGCGAGATCCACACTGACTAATTCCAGGCCTTGTCAACGTCACGCTGGAGGATCTCTTGGTCGTCCAATTACTCGAGCACCCACCAAACATCAAAGTCGTCCGCGAAGAATAAAAACTGGGTTACTAACTCTTGCTAGATCGTTCATGAAAACCAATAACAGGCGAAGCCAAGGTACCGAACCCTGCGATACGCCACACTTCACTCTAGTTAGATCAGGCAAAGATGTTCGAACTCTAACCCCCAATCGCCGTTCTCCGAGAAAGTTACCCGTTCATCCCGATACTGGATCTCAGATGCCATATTGCTGAGGCTTGTGAATCAGGATATAATGATCCAAGCGATCGAACGCTTTTGAAAAGCTAAGTAGATGAAGTCGGTTTCCGTCCTCACTTCAACTGATTCAGTTCGGTTGTCACCTGCAATCAGCAGGTTTGTAGTAACTGATCGATGTTGCCGAAAGCGTGCTACTTTGACGAGATAATATCATGGCTCTCTAGATAACCCAACAATGCGTCTGTGATGGTCGCTTCGATTGCTTGGATAGCACAGACGGAGGCATATCAGATGGTAATTGGCAGGCTCAGATTGATGCTTACTTATGAACAGAGCTGGGGATACTATGTTTACACTTTGACGGTAATGTGTTCTCGACTAGATAGCGCGGAAAGAATATAACAGAAGGTTTTAGTAAGTGTATGTCTGCTACCTGCAGTGCTTTCGGGTGGATGATATCTGCTCCAACAGAGTTGGGTGTGCATAAATATAGCCGCTTTTCAGCACCGTCGCTGCACTGACAGTGACGCTGATTAAACCGGATATCTGAGGGACAGAAACAGTAATAACGTTGGAGCATTGCATTCCTTGGAAGGCGGATGAGTAACGTGTTGATCATGTTGCATGTCTCTCTACACCGACCGTATTGTGTGACGGGATTCCGCACCGCGCTTTCCTAAAACGATTGGTGTGTCTGTGAAGAAGCTTGTGGTTTGAGAAAATTTGTTTCACCCTGTGGGTGTGTCAACTTTCTTCATGAGCCAACCGCATGCAGTAGTTGCGTTGAGCTACGTACGAGGTCCAATTTCTGAGCAGGGAGTTTTGTAAACTCGCCATATCCAATCGCTTAGGGCAAACTAGTTTCGTGTTTGTCCCCTCAAAAATGATCTCAGTTTGAGAGGACGATGGAAAGCATACAGCGCCAATGCTTTTCCAACTAGTAATGTGAAAGTAACTAAGAGTGCTTCTCCCGCTATATCTGGGGTGCACACCGTCATGAATGCCCAACTAGTGTAGTTGTTCATTTGTTTGTCGGGATTGGCAACTTCGCCGCAGACGTTTCGGTACCAATCGAATTCGCAAAAAATCCAGGAATGGATTTGCCTGGTACGATTTCTCGCGACCAAGCTTCGACCAACTCCATACTGATGATGTCACCTCGATTGGTGACGAAACGTCTGCAACAAACTTGCCAAGCTCGGCGAACAAATGAACGACTAAATTATCACCAGCTACTGATATTCCGAAAAGTCTCAAATGCCCAACTAGTGTCTTCAGCGAATGATGACAGAGCAGCGTAATATGTTATAGGGTACATTCATTCAGGCCCCGCTTCGAGATAACCGGTGTAGCAAATGCAATCGAACAGTAGGGTCACGTGACCGTTTCGACCCAAAGAACTACACGCGTTTAGCTTACTGACTATGGGCTGCTCGCTGGTGAGCACTTGGTCTGGCACCAATAGCTTATTCTCTGTTCTGAAGCTGGTGCACCGGTGGCGTACTCGTACGAAGATGTGCTGGAGATGAGCTCTTGCAGGCGGACTTTGGACTGGTCACTATCGGTTGCCAGAGTTTCCAGATCATGAATAGTAAACTCACACATAATGAGAATATGGCTGTATTTCCGATTTATCGCAATATGCAAAGCCGATATTAGTCTATGGTCCATTTCCGGAGTGGACTTGGGGTGTCGGTAAACTGCGGACGCAAAGCATATGTCGTCCTCCTTCAGATGGACGAAATCAATGACCACACGTGTGTGGATTGTCCATTAGTTCACAACGAATGTTTGCTTTGTAATAAGAATCACTCTCCCTCTCTCTCCCCAACCTGAATTGTCTCGCAGGGGAAGCGACAAACGGGCTAAAGTGATCTCAATGTCTGTAATCTCATTACGATATTTCGGGGCTCAGAAGCCTGATGACATCGGAGTTGGGCCAACTTACTAACAAGGCTATGTGCGTTGGTTACAGGAAGGATAATCCCTCGGTCACCAAAAGTAGGGTAGTAGTGGTTGATTCAAGACTGGAGTTTGTGCTGACCGTTGAGACGTCAACCAACGGCTGTTATTTGGAGTGGGAGTCTTTGATATTTGAGATTCGCTTGGGCTACACGCTCAGTATAACAGGGACAGCCATGGATTATTAGGGGAAACGCAGCATCGCTGTACCGGAACAGCATGCTTTCCACCAGAACCAATATTACACCACAAAACTGCTAAGTGTTGGCTCCAATTTTACGGAAACCGTCGGCGGTGGTTTGGGAGTTAACGCCATTTACATAAAATGTTTTGGAAAACTGGTAGCTGGGGTTGATAATTCAATTGCTCATTTGTTCACCGAGCTGCGAAATTGGTTTGCAAACGTTTCACCGTCATGCGAGACGGCATCATCAGTGCTGTGTGCGGACACTATTTGGTAGAGTGCAAACACACTGCAGTACCACGGAGGCAAAGCAATAAGAAGAGAAGCACCTATTTAAATGTTTCCAGCTCAACGGATATCCATGGAGCTTCATCCGGAGGTGTCTGAACCACAACAAACCAAACAGACAGTCTACATCAACGACGGAGAGACGCGTTGTTTTACCTTATATGAAGAATATATCCGAAATGGCAGCAAAACTATTCAAACAACATCACTTCATCGTAGCACACGAACCAACTGCTACACTGAGAAAAACTCTGTCGAAACCGAAAGAGAAACTGGAAGCACATGAGCAAAGCAATGTTGTATATAGACTACTTTGTAAAAATTGCGAAAAGGACTACGTTGGCCAAACAGGAAGAAAATTAACAACAAGATTACAAGAGCATAAAAGAGCATGCAAAAAACACTATGCATCTTCGCTAGTCTCAGCACACGTGAATGAAAAAGAACACAGCTTCGACTGGGCCAACACAGAAGTCCTGGCACGAGGTGAAACAAGAAGAGCAAGGGAATTCCTGGAAGCGTGGTTCTCAACACAAGACTCGATCAACATGCATATCGAGATTGACCCGGTTTACCAACCCCTCCGACGGAGAGAACTTAGAGAAATTATTAGACGCCGCTTGAATAGGAACAACCCAAGCGACGACCTCCGCCACGGGGAAATGGGTAGAGATCACGGGACTCAGATCGAAGCCGTCACTTTCGAAATGTCACTTGCACGCCGATCACCGGTCGACAATTCAATCAGCGAGATTACATTGCATATCTCGACGCACTGATGATGCCGTCTCGCATGACGGTGAAACGTTTGCAAACCAATTTCGCAGCTCGGCGAACAAATGACCAATTGAGCCATTTACATAAATTTCTCAAAATAGTTCCACCGGGTGAATCACGGCATTCTCCTTGACAAACTTCAGGGCACTAAAATCAATAATCCGGTCCCGTTTTAAATGGGTACCTTCATCAGTCATACTGACGTGTGGGTTCGTAACACTATACTTGACTCACTGTTTGGTTCAGTGCAGAACGCCACAGTGATCAGTATTGGGTCCACATCTAACATGGATTTGTATAAACAAAACTCGCAAGTGATCACCTCAACTTTTCTACCGTTCACTGATTATTTCAATATGCTGCATGTCATCAGAACAACTGGTAGTCACCTAGCACTGCAGGGTGATTTCGATAGCGTATTTGAATCAGTGGCTCAGAACTTGCTGCACCACAGTTTCGCCAACTATGAAACACTGAGCATGCGCTGTCAATCCACTTACGAGTACAGGTTGGGGGATCAGATTTTACAGCGGGTTTCTATTGAATACAACCTAGGGGTGCTTGTACGATATGCCTTTGGCTGTTCACATTAGGGCCAGAAAGCACCAAAAATGTAACAAATACCTTGGCGTATTGCAAAGGGGGTTCGGACGATTTAACCATTCCATCTCACAAATGCTTAACGCATCTATCAGGCTCTATTCAGAAAATGCTATCCAAGCCTGGCAGCCATAGCCCAAGCACGAACGAGCCGCACTCAAAATTCCCCGACGGAGAGCAGCCAAGAATGTAAAGATGTTGTTACATACCCCTTACAAATTTAGGCTGCAAACACTTGCGGTCTACAGTGAGCAAAATGGACGCCAACGCGGCAATTTGATAAGGACATGTCAGGTCCCGGGGAATACCAACCATGCTTGTCGTTGCCTTCTGAAAGCGAACCACAATATTACTCTGAGAGATTGCCAGCTAAAACTAGCCATCCCGTATATTCAGTTGGAATGCCACCGAAAGTTCTCCTCTCTTCGTACATACCAACTTGGGAACGTCCTTTACATTCACCTCGTTGCTTTCCCCATACTACCAGTGTCCAGAGAACGTTACGAACATGCACGTTTACAAGTAAATTAAGCTACGTAGCACTTTCTGACTGGACGTCAAGGTAATACGGCCAATCAATGTGCTCACTCTAACTACCCGGTGAGTTCCCCAGCATTTGCTTTATTTCGTTGACGCCGCTTTGTTTTGTAAATCATTTACCCATCCATCCTATGGGACTTTTTAAGTGTTAGGTTCTTTACCCATGACAAACCATTGTCCAAATTGTTTACTATGAAATACTCATCCTGCACGTGATGGTGGCTCGTGAACGGGCCATATAGAAGAAGAACTCACCTTGCACCGACACTCGGAATGTAAGCCTGTCCTCCCCAGCTGCATTTTTGGCGATGCAAGTTAGCTCACCTTCATCCTCAGGTCTGCGAAGTTGAAAATAGAAAACAGTGGAATGAGTAGGGAAATCGGCTATACGTGTCATGTATCATGTGATAACTACCAGAACGGTGGCTACTGGATTTTGAAGTACCTGTTACGCAAATAGATTGCTGATGGACTGCGATTTAGTTTTAAACTAACCCGAGTCACTTTAATCAGTGAATCGCAGCTGCTGCAAGTAGTTTGGCATGTGGACTACACTTAACACCGTACCGTAAAAACAGTTTTGTCCTTATTTAAACATTCAGGTACACAGTACCCGAATAGTATGCGAATTAGAGGCAGAGATCACTGCTGACTGTATTCAACGTTACATCATGGAACTCCACGAAAAGTGACCATAATTCCTCCTCCGACAGTCAGAACGGAGTCTATGTAGCGTACACAGACATGTTTTACATGATACGTATGATTATTTGTTCTGTGCAAAAACTTGCAGCACTATTTAATTCTAGACAGTATTTTCCAAATCATCTTGCTTTGCCTCAATCCTACGTCGCATTGCTG